AAATAAATTGATTAAAGGAAGTGCTGATGACAGGAACAGTGGTTATTAATAAATCATAGCAATGATTATTTTCCTTTCAAGAAGCTCCATCAGCCTAATATGATTGATCAGCTGGGGAAAATCCTAGGCTGGTTTGGCAACTTCAGTAGCATCTGCAGGAAGTGCCTCCCTGTCGGAGGAGCTGGAGCCAGCCTTTCCTCTCCTCCAGGGTGGGGCAGGTGGGACCCTCGAGGATGCCTGCATCTGCTGAAATAGAGACCACCCAGAGCTTACTGCCTACTGGCTCCCTTGCCCCAGTGAACATGGCTCCCTGTACCTGCTCCCTCCTTACCTGAAGCTCTCAGGATGTCTGATGCCTGGGCCTTGGGCATCAGGGCACAGAATGTGCCCACCTTCTTTGTCTTGCCACATTGACTACAGGCCAGTCCTGCAGTCAGCCACATATTGATAGCACAAGATCCTGCTCTTGGCCAGGCTCAGCATCCATGGTCCTATGCACATCCATGGTCCTATTCTTGGGGTAGGCATGGCTGGACAGAGAGCACCTCACAGACATTGTCCACTGCCGGGACAGAGGGTGCAGCAGTGCTCAGAGGAGTCGGACTGTGCTGATAAGTCACCGAGTTTTTTTTGAGCTCCTAACGTGCACCAGCCCTGCACAGGATGCTATGGGGGATGCGGAAGGAAGAGCAGGTACATTTAATGAGCCAGCTTCAGGCCCTGTCATAGTAGAAGACAAGAGACAGAATCAGGGATGTATCTGATTCTGTATCAGAATCACATTCCATGACTTCAGTCCCTCCTGAAGACCCCAAAGAGTGCTCTGCAAACATCTGTGGAAGGACAAAAGGTTCTCCATAGCCCTTGAAGATTCTGTGATAAGACATAAAGGAAAATTCACGAATAGACAGTGGAGGCTGAGCCAACCCACCTGCTCCAGAGACTCCTCACCGCCAGGGGAAACAACATCTGTCGAGTCTCATGGTAGAAATCTCACGTAATTAAACAACAAAAGCCCAGGCACTAGTGACCTAATTTGGCCAGCAATTCTCAACTCATTAAAGGAATTTTAGAGATGAGCAAGTTGAGACCCAGATAAGAAAACTCAGTAACCAAAGGGGCACATCTGTCCCTGTCCTCCTCAGTCCCCTGGCCAGGCTCCACTCGAGCCCAGCAGTCCTGATAATCCTTGTCAGCTCCACCTCACAGGGCCTGATGCAGCCCCCACCCTGGAAACAGACTGGCGAGTGCTGCTGAATCCAGCCCTGCTCAGCCCTTCACTGGCTTGAGATGGAGAAGGGGAGGGGGCAGCCCTGGAGCAGGATGGTCCCTTCTGATGCTGTTCTGGCACTTCTGGCACAACCCCACCTGTCTCATCAGAGGCTCAGCTCACCCTCATCTGGGCAGGGTGGTTTCTTCCAAGTCTTTGTCCTCCACACAGGGCTGCTGAGGTTGCAGAGCAGCCAGGGCTGTGCAGCACAGATGCGGGATAGGGTGCTACAGGTGTCTGGAAATACAGGTGTCTGGAAATTCCAGGTTGTAGGAAGACTTGCAGGAAAGGACTGGGGCTCCTGTGGAGAGAAAAAGGGGGCCCGGTAGCTCTGGGCCTCCAGGACTCCGGGTTTTTATGCCACTGAGTTTGACTTGGTGCTCCTCCTGCTGTGGGCAATCAGCTAAATAGGCAAAGAGAGTGAGCAGATGTCTCATACAATTAGTAAAAGCCGATGCAAAGATGTTCCAGCTGATTAATCAGAACAGCTAAGATAATAACTATGTGTCATTTTATACCTACTAAATTATGGAGTAGGAATGCTCAAATTATACTATTTCATGTTGGTGGTGATGGGGAAAGTGGCACACTGGCATAATTGTGTGGTGGAATATAGCCACACGCCATCTCTAGAAGGCAGTGTGTAGTGGCATTTAAAGGGCCAGGGGCCAGAGAGCGGTCCATTCTCTGCTCTGTGACCTCGCTGCTTGGAGCCCAGCTTTAGGACACAAATTCTGCATGGAGACATCCACTGCACCATCTCCATTATCCTAATCCTCATCACCATAGTAACCCATTGCTAGGCACCCGTACATCTAAGCACTCTGCAGTTAAGGTATCTCCCCTTTGCCAGCTTGCCCTGCTGGGTGAGATGTTATCATCTCATATGGGCCCAGTTTTCTGACTGGAAAACTGAGGCACAGAGAGTTCACAGAGCTGGCGGTGATGCAAACCAAGCCTTAGTCCAAAGCCTGTATTTCTCCAGTTGGGTCCCAACATCTTTTTAATTAAATACCTCACATTGAGGAGAATGCCAATACCCATCAATGTGAAAATCTAAAGGCAATGTATGGTGTGTCCATTTGCAGGGATGGTAACCAGTCATAGAAATAAAGGAGGGAAGCACACTCTAAATCCACATGAACAAGCGTGGGGATCAACCCCACAGAGGGGAGGGAACAAAAGTGCCGATCATTCTGAAACACAGATAAGGTGAAGCTCAAGCCCAGGTTCAGGGCACTGTTGGGCTTCAGAGGGGGCTGTTTTCCTTGAAAGGCCTGGGCCATGTGATCCACATTCAGCTCCCTGCATTGCCTTCCCTTTAGTCTCTGGAAAAAAACCACTGTCCTGAGGAATCACCAATCCAGCTTCAGTGGGCAGGAGCAAGCATGCAAACAACCCACTTCCTCTCTGGGCCAAAACACAGCCGAGGCAAGGCTAGAGCATTCAACCCTAACCTCTCCAGCAGCAGAGGGATGGCAACAGGGAATCAAGGCAGAGTGGGTGAGGACGTAGACAGTGGCTAGTGGTACCCATAGATCTATCACAGCTACTTGGGTGCCAGAGAGAAGAGATGAGGCCTCCTGTGAATGCTGCTGTTGTCCATGAGCCAACCCCTTCCAGAGCAGGGGCCTGTGTAAAAGTGATGGATTCAGTATTATACCCCAGGCTGTATGACACTTGAGGTGAAGGTGTGAACACCACTGCTGGGGTGATTGGACTCAACACCAGGCCGTGGGGGCTACGAAGTCCGGCAGAGTCAAAGGAATGAGAAAAGACAAGTTGAGAGAGAAAGTGGGACCAGGGGGCCAATGCTAGTATGGAGGCTGTGAAGGCCCGGAACTCTGGGAGCCCACACTATTTATTGCTGATCAAACAAAGAAACAGGTGGTAAGGAGTTGGGGGTTGAAATGAAGCAGTATGTCAAGTGAATGAGCTACAACTGTGATGGTTTAGCATTTTCTTTGAAACATATGGCTACTTGAGATAATGGGAGTGCTAGAAGCAAGGAGCCAGCAAGTCTGGACACATTGCAAAGGCCACAAGGGGTTTTAGACCCTGGACCCTGGACATGTTCCAAGCCCTGCCTCAGCTTCTCTCCCAACACTCAGCTTTTCTCCCAACACACCAGGCTATAATGTGTCCTCAGACACTGCCTGAGTGCTATGTAATATTTAATGTAATGTTAAGATACAAAAAATACCTAACAATAAGGATGACCCTAAGTATCCAGTGATATTTGACCACCATGACTTATGTCTATTCCCTGCCCCCCACAGTGATGAGGACATGCATGTAGAACTGGGTAAGACATCATCTCCTCCAGTCCCCCCCCTTCAGTTCAGAGTGGCAGAAAAGCAATCACACAGATAATCACTAGCCATGGGTCACCTGTCCTGGTAGGGGAGGGAGTGACTATTTGGAGGAGATTCAGAAGGAAGACTCCATGGAGGATGTGTCCTTTGAGTTGGCTCTTGAAGGATGTGTAGGAGCTCACCATGCAACTAATGCCAGGGTATGGATGGGAGAGGGATGGAAGAAAAGTCCAGGCTAGTGGGAACATGTGGGCAGAAGTAGGCCAGGCTTAGAGAACTGCAGTCACTAGTGTAGTGGGAAGAGCTTACACACACACATACACAGAATCACAGATACAGTGCAAGAATTGTAGGTCACAGGTACTGTGCTTTCCAATCACAAGTTAGGATCCATGGTCTAAGAATTACAGGTGTGATTACATTTGAAGTCAGAATTATTTCTCCAGAGTTCAAGATGGCCCCTCCCACTGATCACTGTGGCAATGGCCTTGATACTGGCCAGAGAGAGGAGAGGAGCTTCCCTGGGGACAGGGGAGAGTGAAGGAGGGGGACAGAAGGGGAAGGGGTAGGGGCAGAGGGGACAAGAATTCAGTCGTCCCTGCGAAGGGCAGCACCAACCTTGGCAGGGTGCAGCTCAGCACCATCAACCAGAAGGACCTGCAGGGCTCACGGGCGCTCAGAAGCTCTGGGGTAGGAGTGCTGGCCCTTCTGCCCTCCCAGTTAGCCACCAACAAGCCACAGCAAACAGCTGAAGCAGAGGCCCCACTTTGGGATGATCCCAGAGAACAAATACAAAGGCTTTGGGGGGTCTGATGCCTCCACAGGAGAGGGACTAAGCAGAAGCCAGATCTGGGTGGGGCCAGCTCCCTCTGGACCTGAGCAACAAGAATCCTGCTAGACTGTGAGCTCCAGGAGGATACAGATGTTTATCTGTTTTTTATTTCACTACTTTGTCCCCTGGAAAACTGGAACAGTTCTGTGCACATAGTAAGAAATCAATAAACAATGGCTGAATGAATAAATTAATCATTGAACAAATGAACGGATGGATGGATGAATCCATGGATTCATGGATGGATGCATGGATGGATACACGGATGGATGCATGGATGGATACATGGATGCATGGATGAACAAACCTGGAGGAATGAAGAACCCAGGATCCCAGGGACAGAGCAGAAACTAACCAGGTGGGCAGGCTGTACCCCTACCCCAGGGGGATCACTGCAGGCTGCTGCACAGATGCTCCAACCCATGCCCCTTCAATGCCAAGGGGAAGTAGGCCCAGCTGCTCACATCCTGCTGACCTGGGCTCCCATGCCTCAGTCACAAGGCAGCTAGGACACTGGGATGGGGGCAGGACTGATAGCAGGCATGCTGCCTTCATGCTCACTGTGTGTGTCCTTGGCTTGCAGCCCGTTCCAAGAGCCTGGTGATGGGGGAGCAGAGCCGGAGCCCCGGGCAGACGCCATGCCCTCACAGGCTGGGCCCCGTGCTGAAGGCGGGCTGGCTGAAGAAGCAGAGGAGCATCATGAAGAACTGGCAGCAGCGCTGGTTTGTGCTGCGTGGGGATCAGCTTTTCTACTACAAGGACAAAGATGAGATCAAGCCCCAGGTGAGAAGTGCATGTGCGGTCTGCCACGGGCATCACAGCAGGGCTCCACAAGAGGGAAGACCATGCCCAGGAGAAGGGAGGAAGGCACAGAGTCACTGACTCCATCACAGTGATATTTTGCCAAGATTTCCAAAGTAATTTTCATTCTTATCCCCCATGTTCTTGGTATCACAGGCTGTTTTACTGGAACATGTCCACAACTTCTGCAATGAAAATGTTTCCTTAAAATGCTGATAGAGAACGTCCCTGCCCAACTTAAGAAAACAACCCTTCCATGTCTTTTTGGCCCCTTCATGCTTCCAAGAAAATGTACATGCACACATTTCATTACTTCTGTCTTGCAGGAAAATGGATCACCAGACACATCTAGCCTCAAACTGAAACCTGGCTCACTCTGAAGCCCTTGTGCCTATCCCACATAGGGTTTCTGTGTCCAGAACTGTGAGACCCACATTTTAAGCAGGTGCTTTAAATGTCTGCCTTTCTATCCAAATTGCACTAAGTTTACGCCCTCAGAGCAGCTAGTAGCCCCACCCACCACAGTGTAGCCTCCTCACACAGCAGCCCATGCAAACGTCGTAATAAGATACTCTGTGTGCTGCCATCCAAGACACCTGAGCCAGAAGCACTTGGGCAATCCAGTCCCTGTGATGGATTTCAGAGAGAGAAAGGGTATCTCTTGGGCAGAAAATGGGAATGGACCTTAAAGGACTTGTCCCAAAAGCTGCTCCTAGTCACGGGTCCAAGTCAGAGTGGGCAGATCCCCTTGTTTGGGGTCACAGGTCACAGAATCTTGATGGGAAGGGGCCTGGTTCACATCCCAGCCATCCCCACAGTGTGGGGGCAGAGAGGGGCTCTGGGATGGGCAAGGAGTGAAGGGGGAGCTGGGCATGAGAAAATGTCCCTTTCTCCCCTCTTTCAGTTCTTCTGAGCACGTCAAGGATGAAGTGTCAACCCTGTGAGCCTACCTTTGACACTTCTCAAACACTTGGATCCTCCTTTTAAACAAAATATGGGGGCGTGGGGGTGAAAGGGGAACAGGCCTCATCTTACTTAGAGCCTTCAGTGCAACAGGCACTGGCTGCTCATGAATAACTTTCTGCCTTCATTCTGTTCATTCCAATAGCTACCTCTATGGAAAGTAATTCTGGTTCCCACTTGTGGTAGAGGTATCAGTTTTCCTTTCTAAAATATTGTGTATTGACATTAAAACCAAAAACTGTTTCACAGCAACGTGAATGCGCTTAATGGCACTTACCTATACACTTAAAAGTGGTTCAAATAGTAGACTTTGTGTTACACATACATTACCACAATAAAAATAAATTAATTAGAAGACTGCTTCAGGAAAACTTTTACACAAATAATAGCACAGATGAAACGTGAGTATGACAAAAATCATGAAGGTGGATTCAGAAAACCCCTATATTGTCCAGCCTCCTTGAGTGTATGAGAAAGGAGAACTCTGAGCAGTTAAGTGAGCCGGATAGGAACTCTGGAATCAGCTAGATCTGAACGAGACCTAGCATGCCAGCTGTGCAGTGCGAACAAAAGTTTTCTGAAATGGAACATGGAGGAAAGAGACTTTATTCCAGTGAACAGTTTGCAAACTGGGGACACGCAGCTTCCCTGTAAAAGGTGAAGGTGTGTTCCAGAAAACATAAGTGAGGGTTTTATAGCAAACGTGCCAGCCCAGGTTCCCAATCAGGTCTGTTTATGCAAATGAAGGATTCAGACTCATTTAGTTCTGAGAATTAATACAGCCGAGCACGGGAAGGTGAGTTCTGATTGGTTGGTTCAGGTGAACTCTGATTGGCTGGTTCAGGTGAGCTCTGAAAGTCCCAAAGTTAAACAGGAGTCTGGTCTTTAGGGGAAGGCAGAGTACATGTGTGATCCGTAGTCATCCAATGTCCACTTGGCCCTATTTTAAATTTAGGCCCAGTTAGCCCCTGGGGACTTATCTTGAAGGACTGGCTGTTTCAGGTTCACATTTGTTTACAATGGCTTGGGAGGAGTCCTTTATTTATTTATTTATTTTTACTTTAGATTGTATCAATTGTAAAATGGAGACAATATTACCTCCATCACAGGAATGAACTGGGGTTAAATTGTATAACGTACACATAACTGGGTACAAATCCTAACACACTGGATACTCAGATCTGAGCCCACAAGCCCACCCAGCCCTGCCCTCACCTGGCCCCCAACTGCCTCCCAGGCTCACCCGTAGGCTGGGCACCATGCTTCTGGTTCCCCACAGTCATTTCCTTCTGGCCTCCCAGTTTTGTAGACCAGCCTTGGCCCTTCAATAGTGTCTTGGCTTTCCTGGCTGACCTGTTGGTGACCTGTCACTCTGATTACTGTGAACAGAGTTGCCAGAATTGCCCCCAGCCTTTCAGAGCCCTGCCTGGACCCTTACTGTCACCCTCCTCCTGGCCAAGCCCACAGCACTGCCTCCTGGGAGCAGGACTTTGTGATGCTGGGAGAGCCTGGGTTTTCATGACCCTGAGGCCACACAGGCCACACCTGGACAGAGCCTCCTCTGCCACAGGCGTCCCCACGTATTCCTTATAGTGAGCCTTGAGGTGGCCCTGGGAGCCCTCACCCATCAACTAGCTCCATAAGGAACCTCTCTCTCCTGAAATTTCTGAGCCAGACACTCCTCTCCCTTCCCTGCCACGTTTTCCAGACCTCCGCATCCTCTGGTGGAAGCAACTAATAAAACGGAGGCGTAGACATCCACAGTCAACAGCCTGCACAGAAGAGCAGCCCTCAAGCCCAATCCAAAATGGACCAGGGCATTTATTGTCAGGGAGCACGTTGGATCATGAGAGGGGTCAGTGTCTTCCAGCAGATGCCAGCATTTGCCCCCAGAGCTCTTGTGGCCTTTCTGGGTCTGGCTGGTACTCACTCCCAATGCCTCTTGGGACATTAAAACTTCTCCCCATTTCCCCCAACAAAGCCTGGCTTCTATGGCACCCCACTGCCCAGGTTCCCAATCTCAAGGCAAATGTCGGTCAATTTTGATTCATTCAGCTTATCAGTATGATCTCAAACTTGCACAGCTGCCGGCAAAATAGCCTCACAAATTTCTGTTTAATTGCATGAACTGCATGTAATAGACTAATTCTCAATATCTGGTTCCTGGAAAAATATGCTCTGCTCACTGTTCTCAGTGACAGGGGGCCCAGGCGGTCAGCATGCTCCTGTAGGACGGGCTGCACCAGCAGATGTAACTGTCGGGAGGAGGGATATCCAGCCACACTTGATGCTGCGCAGAGCTCACAACACAGGAGGAGAATCACTCCCAGCCCACATTCCTTGTTCTCTCTCCAAAGCCCTATCTCTTCCCCTCTCCCCATCTTGCTGGCAGGAGGGTCAGCAGAGGACAGAGAGCATAGAGACAAGACAGTTCAAGACGGAGAAAGAGGAAGCAGCTTGTGCAAGCTCAGATGGAAAGATCAGGCAAAGGCATGTCACAGCAGAGCCTGAAAATGCGCCCTTGTTCCTCCAGCTTTTCCCAGCACCTGTCCCTGAGGGTTTCCAGCAGACAGATCCCACAGTTTCACAAGTAAAGGCTTCCAGGTTTTTTAAACCTTAGTGATTTTAGCTTGTGCTTGGAATGTTGAGTCATGAAAACTCCTGCCACATTCTTTGTTGATCAGCCTGGTCTATTTCCACTGTTGGGAACTCACTTTAAGTCTAGTTATCTTGGTCCTTTATTTGTTGTGGGTTTCTTGGCTTTGAATAGAAATGGAACAGAATAGACATGGAAAGTATAACTCCCAAAACCTAAGACCAAAAAAAAAGTAAAAAATCAAATGTGATCAGTTGAGCAAATGGGACAAAATGGGGAAAAGGAAAAAAAAAAAAAAAAAAAAAAGAAAGACAAGTAAAAAACAAATAAGAGAGTAAAAGAAGGTACAAACATTTTGTTTCTCATAATAAATGTGAATAGGTTAGATTCATCTATCCCTTAAAATAGAAAGTGTGAACTGGGTCTAATAAAGAGAGAGGAATAAACAAAAAGATTAAAAAGCAAAAGAACAAAAAAAAAAAAAGGTAAGAAAGTAAATGTGAGCAAAAAGAAAGCACATTTAGTAACATCAAATAAAGTAGAATTCAACATGCTAAGAAAAAAGGGGAACAGAGAGATATAGTTCCCAATATAGATAACCTACTGAGAAAAGAGAGCAGCTGTGAACTTTACTGCTCCTAATGACACAGCTTTGAGGAAGACATAAACAAAGAACACTCATTGTTTTCCCTTTAAAAAAAAAAAAAAACTTTTTCAAAAAAATGAAATCAGAGACCCATTCACTGTCAATAATGCTAAAGCAAAAAAGACAAGTTAATAACAAAATGACATTGAGGAGAGTGTGCAGGTATGAGAGAGCAAGGATCAAACACACACACACACACACATACACACACACATACATACTGCGTAATACCTCTGCAGTTAATGAGAAAACCAAAGCTCAAATTCAAACTTCCAGTTAAAGGTGACATTTAAAAGTCACATCTGGCTTCTCTGCATCACAAGACTTCAAGATACAGCACGAAAGGGATGTTTTTAAAGGCACGAGCACAACTAGATGGAAAGAACATGAGGGGAGACAGCGTTCTGGATGCAGGAAAACAGATGAGGGAGAGGCTGCTGATCTATTCAGCTGATCCAAGACAGCTAAATCCCAAGCCAGCACAAAGGAGGGCACGGAAGCTGTCTGGTTTGCAAAACAAAACTCCTCAAAGACTTGGGGCTTGGTAGGACTAGATATCTCTGGAAATGAGGGCAAAAAAGGAGCTTAGGACAGGAGCACTGGGTGAAGGTTAACTTAGAAAAAAGCAGTTAGGGCCGGGCGCAGTGGCTCATGCCTCTAATCCCAGCACTTTGGGAGGCCAAGGCAGGCAGATCACTTGAGGTCAGGAGTTCGAGACCAGCCTGACCAATATGGTGAAACCCTGTTTCTACTAAAAACACAAAAATTAGCTGGGCG